TAAAATTCTTAAGAATAGCATTCTCAAATATACAATTATTGAACAAATACACTTAATCTTCTTCAACGGTCCAAATAATCGACTTGTTTACACTTCATCTTCTTCAATGTAACTTTTTATTGAACTCAATTCCAAGTCTTTCTCTAGTATGATCAATTATTGATTCCTTCTTCAAGCCATTCTGAAAGAATAATTTATTACCAAATGAAAAAGAAAAAACTAAAGTCCTTTGTACAAATCTGCATACTTGTGAATTACAGCAAAACTCATAACCAAGAATTATAGAAAATGCACAAATCATAGAGGAAATATTGAGATTCCATTCCGACAGAATCAGAATTCGAGATTCCATTTCGACATAATTGAAATTCAAGATTCAATTCTAGCAGAATCTAAAGGTTTGAATGGCATTGGTATTTGTTACCTGAACTTCTTGCTTTCTAGAAGGGAATTTATTTCCTTTGACTTTGGATCTTCAACTAACGAGTAAACAAAGTCATGTATTAAAAAATAGAAATAAGCATGGGAATATGATTATACAAATAACATGACTATTGTATTATGATGTGCTTAAACTAAATCTGTTCAAGCAAAAGGAAGCACGCTACAGTCTTTGCTAGCATTATCAATTAAATTAGGTCTAGTTCCATTTAAAATATGAAACCATGATTTGAAGTTATATAACGAAGAATATGCTTTCCATCATACTCAATAAATATAACCCCATTTACCAATTCTCAATTTATCCCTAATTAATGACGATGTGTCAAGTTTAATTCGGTCTTCCCTATTAAAAGTAGAGCATCGCACAAAACAGATGAATGAAAACCTTCAAATCATAATCATAAGAAAACCAAAATATAAATCCAAACTAACCAAAATAACATAAGACAAATATAATTGAAGCTTATTTTCACGATGAGTGACCACCGCCTCCGTCGGATGCCCTCCTGTCGTTGTACTTCACCACCCACAAAACCAATCCACATCCCTCATTCACAGTCTGTAACTCGACATCTCCCCTTCACAATCCGTTTAATTTAAACTTAAATAGGCAAACCCCTAATTTTTGAATTCCCAAACGTGAAAGCGACGTTGAGGTCGTTTTCTTGAGAGCATAGATAAAATCAAAAGCAAAAGATGAGAACTAGAGTGAAGATAAAGTTATACGATCTGATAAGGGAGAAGAATTGCACATAAACCAGAAACGAAAATCGGGAAGATGAAGGCTGACTGCAATGGTTTGTATCGATGGAAGCAGACGACATCAAGATAGACTGTAATGGTCTGATCGAACACGATTTCCTTCCTAGGTTTCGATGCCATCATCGTCGGCGGAGTATCCCAGCTCCAGCCTCCTCTCTTCTTTGATGTTATCATCCCTAGCGATTGAAGGATTAAAGGATTAATCATTAAATTATTTAATTACCAAAATTAATTAACAATTAAAATAACTATTTTACCCCTATCTAGGTTTTTGAAATGATTGATCTATAATCATCCCTATATCCACACAATAATTAGCTAAAATATTTAAACACACACACACACACACACACACACATATATATATATATATATATATATATATATATATATATATAGTTAGATACATGTGAGACGGCCTAATTTTGTGAGACCGTGAGACCACTTTTTTCTACTGAAATATTATAATATTCTAAGCCAATAATTTTAACATATTTTACATTGAAATATTTTAAAACATATAATGTTAGAATATGTTGCATATTCTATTTTTACGAACAATAGAATATTATAATATTCCACTAAAAAATTTGATATCACGGTCTCACAAAATTATGTTCGTCTCAAATGAACTCTTACATATATAACTAGAGGAAGCGCCTAAAAGGGAAGCAACTGGGCTAGATTGCTGATCTTATGGAGTAGTCTCATCAAATCATTGAAAAAATTCATAAAAACTTGTTAATTACCAATTTCTTTGAAAAAAATTTGGTTTGAAAAAGCTTTTCCAATAGCTTTTTAATTTTTCAAAAGTTTTTTAACTTGGAAAAGCTTTTAAAATAACTCTCACAAAGTTCTTTTCGTAAAAGCTCTAGAGCGTGTTCGGCACGGAGCGTTTGGAAGCGTTTGAGAGCTTCTAGCTTCTAGCGTTTGACAAAAAGCTCCGTTTTAAACAGAAAGCTTCGTTCGGCACTACAAGCTTCTAGCGTTTAGTTTAAACAAAACGCTCCAAATCCAAATGATATTTCATGTAGCGTTTAACAAAACGCTACAAGCTACCCGCTACCAGCTAATTTTGCCGAACACGCCCCTAAGCTGAGTATGTCCGATATTTATACATTTGATTATTAGAAAAAATCCATTTATTTTTATTGAGTTTCTATTAAACAGACCAAAGTTACGTGACGAAATACTTATTGACCGTGTGTCACTAAAATAAACACTTTATATCAATATTGAATTGAAAAAGTTTTTATTTATAAAATTTGGTGAACAAAAGAATTACTTAAACAAATAAATGTTTGGTTTACTTGAACCAAACGAGGAACAGTGGGTTTGATATCAACACTTCTAGATGATGACGCTTTCCTCCCATTGAACTTTTTAGAAAACGTGCATTTCTTGAATACTTTCGAAGACGACTTTTAGCGATATTTCATTGAAAATATGTTTTAAAAAGCGATAATAATACAAGAGAAATCTACTCAAGTCTTTATGTTTAGTTCTCATAATCGATTTAATCATTATATTTTTTTTAGTCAATTAACTCCTACAAAATCGAAAATTTTATTTATTTTGATCATTTTACCTGATAAACAAGTCATCCAACTTTCAAAAATTACATTTTTGGCTAGGGTTGAACATAATATGGTATCAATTTATTTTTACTCAAACTGTATACCATACCAACTATAGTTGAAACAATTTTTTTTCTACCAGGATCATACCAAATATATTTTATACGGAATTGTTTGAATACCAACAAGTTTGGTTGGTACAAATTGATAATCATATTAGTACCAACTATTTCCTAACTTTCAATTGCAATGATTAAAGACTAGAAACGATATGGGATAATTTTATTGTCTACTAATATAAATTAGTAAATTAACCATTTTAATTTTTTTTAGTAACTTTTCAATTTTTTAATTTAATGTGATAATAATTACTGACTAGATAGACTTCATCTAATGACTAATATCATGCTTTTAAAATTGTAAACAATAAGTACATTTGATAATCGTATTATTACCAACTATTTCCTAACTTTCAATTGCAATGGCTAAAGACAATAAACGATATTGGATAATTTTATCCTCTAGTAATATAAATTAGTAAATTAACTATTTTAGTTACTACAAAGTTTTATTAACTTTTCAGTTTTTTAATTTAATGTGGTAATAAAACTTACTTCATCTAATGATTAATATCATGTTTTTAAAATTATAAACAATAACACATTTGACAGTTATATATATATATATATATATATATATATATATATATATATATATATATATATATATATATATATATATATATATATATATATATATATATATATATATATATATATATAGGTGTGATTCGGATAAAGGAAAATTTAAATTAATAACAGTAGGCCAAATGATCTAAATTGGGGGATACACGGCCTAATAGAGGCACGTAGCATTTACATCATGTACTAGGCACTTGGGCTTAGCAAAATTAGTTTATATAAAGAAAGCCCAAACGCTTTAAACTTTAAAGAAGCAATTTACCAATACCTTCTGTCTCCATCCCAATACTCTTTAACTATATCTAAGAGGCATATATGATATAACAACTAAAAACAACTTGATTCTTGTGCTTCCATTTAAGCCACGAAATTAATTCCAATCACCAAAATACAAAATGAATTGGCGAAATCTTCAATTTTCCTTTGTCTTTCATCTAAGTATTGTTTAACATAGTTTAATTAAGGTTAATATCATAAAAGAGTAATCAATTATTCAGAATCTTTTAAAACACCATCAACTAAAAAAATATCATCAGAAGGTAACGGATTATTCTTTTGATTTATAAAATATCATTCGAACTATCGTTTTTTTGTTATTTCAAAATATCATTCGAACAAGGCGATGAATTCGTTACCTTCTAATATCGATTTTTAGTTGGATAGTGTTTTTAAATATTTTAGATAGTTAGTTACCTTTTTATAAAATTAACCCTTTTAGTAATTCCAAACACCAAATGAAATCGCAATCCATCATTTTCAAGATATGATAATTGTAAAAGACAATTGCAATATGTACCTTAATATTTTCTATTGTAATGTCATAAATTTTTTTATTTTTCGTATTTAAAATAATTTTGACCAGACCCAACAATAAAAAAAAAGATAATTTTATATCTTTTGTGCCTCCAACAAATCTAAATCATGAATCTGCTATTGCTAGCAACTAGGAAAGTATCACCCCGCGATGCGGGGTTAGTTGTTGTTACTTATGTGTTTTGATGTTCTCATATGAATGTGTTTAACCATGTTTCATTTGATATTAGTCAATCGTTCCTGAATTTTTTATTTTTTTTTTTGTAAATTTTTTATGTTTTTTTATGTTATCATATTTATCTTTTTCTAGAAAATGAGTATTTTATTAATAAAATGTAATGCATATGACTATATGAGCGTTTATGATTAAATATCATTTTTTATAAAGTTTTTATAGTTTTTATGAGAATCTTAACATTTTCCATTTTGTGACATTATCATATACAAAACCATAAGATTTATATATAATGATTTAGAAAGGAAAATACATAATTATAATTATCTCATTTCAATAATATTAACCACTTGCCCATCATCAAATGTGTTTCAAGTATAGAAAAGATATCAAACTATAATTTCAACAAAAAGAAGTGAATTTATAATTACAAATGATAATCAAAAGAAGCCCTAAATTATTCGTATTTAAGGAGACACCCAAATGAAAAGAGGATCAAATTTGTAGAAGAAATCTGACTTTCAATCAAATGGGAGTAATTACTATAAAAACATTATTTCTGAAACATAATTAATCAAAATTCAGAATTCAAATCTACAAATTCGACATGGCAAACTAACACTCGAATTAAAACAACATATAACTCTACTCAAGAGTTTATTACGTATCAGATTATGATAAATTGAGTTGTCAGTGATACCACATCATTCATTTACCTGGAAAAAAAACCAGCATAAACTGCATGAGAACAGAGGATTTTTTTTTCAAATATGTATGTATAAAAGAAACAAAAGTTTGAAGAAAATGTCATTTATCATTGCTGATATTTCAATTCATTTAATATTGTATAAATAAGATTACAAAACAGGTCCTGTGCAGAAATGTTTTATAGAAATAGTCCATACTTAATTAAAAAAAAGGTCCCTATGGAACAAAAACACCATGAATTTTCTCAGGAACTGGCATTTAATCAAACATAGTAAACAAATAAATCGAAAAAATACTAACAATTAAATGGTATACAGTCAAACAGAGAACAATTTATGAGCACTTACATTCTTTTTTTTTGCATGTAAACACTGGGATCTTAGAAAGGATGAAATGGGATTTTGCTACCTGTTATAATATATGTGAAAATGAGAAATCAATAGCGTTTTAGCCTTTAGGTGGTGAATAAATGAAAATAAATAGTAACCAATAGAGAATTAGTTTTCAAAGATTAATTTGTGATTACCTACATATAAGTAGATTTTGTTGCTCTTCTAGAAAAGCAGACATCAGATTTTTTGAAAATATAGACCTATTGTATGAAACTATTTAATAAAGTTTGTTGTGTGTAAGGTTTCAATGGAATTAGATTCAAAAATCATAATTTCTTCTGTATTAGTTGGAATACATGCATAACCACCAACATGAAGACATATATATATATATATATATATATATATATATATATATATATATATATATATACACTTTAACAAAAGGGTATTTTAGTCTTTTCTTGTAAGATAGATAGAAAGAGATTGACCGTAAAGTGGATAAGATATCTTTTGGATGTGGTGATCCGACTGAAATTTGTATACTCTGACAAATTTTCACGTTTCTTTGATTGATTAACCACGAACTTGACAATTTAACAAACATCCCTCGAGACCTAAGGCTTTATGACAATATACTTTTCTTTGTTAAAAGTGTGAACGTATGAAAATACTTTCACAAAAACTTGGGGGCTGTTTCGTCTTTACTTAATAGGTTAACCTAAAAAAAAGAACATAACTTAATACATTCAGACACTATCCATTTACTAATTTTCCTGACTTATAGTGCAATGGATGGGTAAAATGGTCATTTAATCTCATTAAGACAGTTTATCGGTCAAGAAAAAAATGGACCTTATATGTATACAACATTTTATCCACGCATATATCACTACCCATTTGGCGATCTATTTTAGGCTTACCTTTCTAGAAGCTATATTAGAACTTCAAAAAGCATCGTCCGCATCAAGGGGAGTAAGTTCAGAAACACCTTCACTAATGATAGCAGCCATTTTGACTCCAAATCTGGACATTTTTCCAAAAAATAGAAATCAATGAGGTTGTTATAGTATTCAATGCGTTGTGGATTCGGTTTGCCTGTTCCATCTGTTATAACATGAAAATACATGTTAGTTTATTTGCCACTTTCAAAGAAATCAACAGTATACCATATTATCATAGATTCATTAAGGTGGTTAGTAAATTTACTTATGAATATTCTTCACCATGATATTCAGAATATATAAACATCATATATCAGAAAAAACTCACTGAGGCATTTTGTCAAACACCTTATATGCACTAAGCATCTTTATAAAGAAAATACCATATTACCAAGTAGAAAAACCATTTTGTTTTCATATGATGTTTCTAGATTTAGTCATGGTCATTTCATTCCAAAGTTTTCATGTACAAATCATATTTTTATATAAGTTTTTATATAGAATTAAATATTCATTAAAAAAAATTACCAACTTTTTCCATCTTCACAATATAAAAAAAAAGGAAAAAAGAAGAAACATATGCTCACCTTATGTGTATTAGTGACAACATAGGATTCGATGAAGAGAAGTGTAATCAAAACTGATCATCTGCACTAAAAATGTAATTTGGTCATGGTAATAACTTAAAAAAATTCAACCTTATGAGTTGTTTCAAGACTCAAACCAATAAAAGACAGTAGTAGTACCCTAAATGGCTGCCAATTTAAAAGTAATTGGCATTTCAAGGGAAAACGTCTAATTAGCTCCATTTTTTGTGTGGATGAAAGAAGATAACTACATCAAATAATCCAATACAAGTAAGAGTGAATAACGTTTTAACCATTTTATTTGTTGAATGTGAAGCCACAATTGTTGAATGTGAAGTTTTTTCAAAGGTTGGCTGAAGACCCGGTTGTGTTTTTTGACTACTTCTGATTTCCATCTCTATATTAGAGATTCATCTGTATTTGTAAAACTTATATCTAGAGTAACACAGAAAGAGTGCAGATTAGCACCAAGAAATATAAATTCTTAGTTACCGGTGGACGTAGGTCAGAGAAGGACCGAACCACGTTAAATCCCTCGTGTTCATCCTTGTGTTCTTGTTTTTCGTGAGCTGTGTGTGTGTTTAGAGTCGTGTGTTAAGTATCTCGATCCTAACAAGTGGTATCAGAGCAAGGTTTTAGCTCCAAAAGGTGATTTTCAGTTTTTTGGTCGAAATTTTTTTTCGTCAAAAACGATTTTGGTGTATACCTTTGGAAAGGTCTCGTTCCGAAGATTCCGAAAATATTTTTTTCTGAATTTTTTGACCACCGGAAGACATCCAAATCGCCGGTCAAAGGTTTGCCGGAATAGTGACCGGAAAAACCAGTTCCGCCGGAGAAGACGACACTGTAGCGCCTGAACTTGCCGGAGAAGACGACACTGTAGCACCGAAGTTCTGCCGGAGAAGACGACACTGTAGCGGTACTGTAGATGTACTGTAGCACAACGTCATCGGTGACGTCAGCAGACAATGTAGCCCGACGTCAGCGGTGACGTCAGCAGACACTGTAGCAGGCACTGTAGCGGCACTATAGCAAACTGTAGCAGATTTGAAGATTTGCAATTTGGCCCCTGAATTTCCAGAAAATTGCAAAATAGGTCATTGTTCTTTCAGAAAATGGCAGAAAGCAGTAAGCTTCAGATTGAGAAGTTTGATGGGAAAGATTTGGTTGGTGGAAGATGCAAATTGAAGATTTGCTCGTGCAGAAAGACTTGGACGCAGTTTTAGGTGAAAAACCGGAGGCGATCACACAAGCAAACTGGGAGACTTTGGATAAGAAGGCCAAGACATTTATTAGACTGACTTTGTCAAAGGATGTTGCCTTCAACATTTTGAAGGAGACCTCGGCAAAGGGAATCATTGAGGCATTGTCTAATATGTACGAGAAGCCGTCGGCAGCAAATAAAGTCTTCCTGATTCGGGAACTAATCAACACGAGGATGAGGGAAGGAAGTTCAGTTACAGTACACATCAACAATTTGAACTCGATTTTATCCAGATTTGGGTCAGTGGGAATAAAATTTGAGGACGAAGTTCAAGCTTTACTACTGTTATCATCATTACCTGACAGTTGGTCCGGAACAGTTACAGCCGTTACTAGTTCCGCAGGATCGAAAGAGCTCACTTTTGAGGGAATTCGGGATTTAATTCTAGGCGAAGACGTCAGACGAAGAAATTCCGGGGAATCATCAAGTGAACAATTGAATGCGGTCAGAGGTAGAAGAAATAACAGAGGTAGTGGGAGCGGGAACAGGAGAATGAGTCAGTCAAGGACTCGAAATGATGTGACTTGTTAGAACTGTAAAGAGGTTGGATATTTCAGGAATCAATGTCCAAAAGACAAGAAATAAGTTAACGTTGCAGTAGACCATTCAGATGATGATGTTTTGATCTGTAGTGTGGAGAGCAATGTGGATTCCTGGGTTATGGATTCGGGTGCTTCATTTCACGCTACCCACATCCGTGAAACACTGCGGAATCTGAAAGAAGGGGATTTTGGTAAGGTAAGACTGGCGAACGATGAGGTTCTTGATGTGACGAGCATAGGTGACTTAGATCTGAAGACTCCAGTCGGTCCATGGACTTTGAAGGATGTCCGGGTAATTCCAAGTCTGAAGAAACAGTTGATTTCTGTTGGGCAGTTGGATGAACAGGGACACGAGGTTAAGTTCAGGAATGGGCAGTGGAAGGTTGTCAAAGGAAATCTTGTGATAGCTCGTGGACATAAGAGGGGTTCATTATATATGGTCAGTTTACCGTCTGAGGGAGTAACCGTCCCAGTTCAGAAGAAAAAGAAAATTCGGTTCATAGAGTCTCGTGGACAGAAGAAGGTTTGCTTTGCAGATGGCAAACCCAGAATCACAGGTCAGATTCAGGTTGAACGAGTTTGGAACGGTTCAGAAAAACCAGTCAAGGGCATTCATAGCAGTGGGAGCAAGGGTTGTGCTTCAGCTAGAATACCCAGAACACAGTGGGTTAAGAGAACCAGTATTCCATCTGTAAAAGTCTCTCCAGATTATCTGCTTCACATGGAGAGTGTCGTTTGTTCTCAAGATGTTCCAGGATCGGGCAGTTCATTTCAGTAGGAGCCGGTGGAGACAGAGAACAGGTAAATTGAAGAGAAGGCCGGGTAACTAGGAAGGAGTTAAGATCAAATTTTTTAAAATACAGATGCACAGTTGAAGCACAGGTGAAGATTGTTCCGTGGCTTCAAGTGGGAGATTGTTGAATGTGAAGTCACAATTGTTGAATGTGAAGTTTTTTCAAAGGTTGGCTGAAGACCCGGTTGTGTTTTTTGACTACTTCTGATTTCCATCTCTATATAAGAGATTCATCTGTATTTGTAAAACTTGTATCTAGAGTAACACAGAAAGAGTGCAGATTAGCACCAAGAAATATAAATTCCTAGTTACCGGTGGACGTAAGTCAGAGAAGAATCGAACCACGTTAAATCCCTCGTGTTCATCCTTGTGTTCTTGTTTTTCGTGAGCTCTGTGTGTGTTTAGAGTCGTGTGTTAAGTGTCTCGATCCTAACATTATTCATTCGAAATTTTAGTCCAGGTTAAATAGATGCGATATTGTAAGAACGATATTATTATGAACGTGATAATATAAAAGTAAAACACTTCTAGTCTTCATATTACCTCTTACTACCAAAATAATCATTGTACCTAAAAAAATATCATACAAATAAGGAATTTATTTGTAAAAGAGGACATACCTTGCCAAATATACAGGCAATTCATAAACAGCAAGTAATATGTCCAAGTAATTTACTGATAGATTGCACTTTGGCGACCAAAACTGAAATCAACATGAACGTGGTCAAAATAAATCAATGAAAGCTAAGCAATGTATGATTTTGTTTTTTTTTTTTTTTTAATTTCATGCAAATAAAGATTAATGTATTAATAAACCAAATTTTTACGTACTTGCATTTCTTCTTCTTGCTGCCCAACTGCTTCCTTCTTTAAAGACAAAAGCAAATATTTAATAGTATTTATTAGCACTTATAGTTAATTGTTGGCAGTTAAAAATTTGAAACAGTGTCTGTGAGGGTTACATTACATTGAATCGGTGTTATTGTATCTAACAGAAAGGGTGGGCTGTTGAAATCAAAGACTCATGTTTTTCCCTGATGCAATGGGGTCTACCCTTCCTATAAAACAATAAGATTGAATTAAAACTTAAAAAATAAATAAATTAATAAAAGAATCAATATTAATATTACATTATCAGCAACATTGACATCAACTTTGCATTTGATGAGCAACTTAACCGTTTGCATGAGACTCACTTAAATAGCATAATGAAGTGGAGTAGCACCATCCTATGACAAGGGCATTTTAGTAATTTTGAGAAAAAATAAAAGAAAGGAATAATGACATGGAAAATGGAGTTTGAAGGAGAAGGGTGGGTCTCACCAGGCATGAGGAGTTGCAAAAACACAGACTCTTTTTTTAAAAAAAAAAGTGATATATGAGGTTGTAAGCATTAGAGAACTCTTTTGGACAAATGTCAACCACTTCTCGTAATTGACTTTGACCCATATCATTTTTAGATAAGTTATTTTAAATTTCAGTAAATTGCTGATTTGGAACCATTATGTATTAAAAACAATACCTTATCAACAACATCAATCTCAAATCCATTTTGTAAAAGGTTATCCATGAATTTAATCTGCATCTGAATCTCAGAAGCAATGGGGTCAGTAAAACTGAAATACCAAGAATATTAACAATATTAACAGTATATTTGCTTACTAATAAATCATCAAGTTTCAGTCACATTAACAAAGAACATCTTCATATAAGTATGACGTTTGTAAGTTGTAAGGAAGGCTAAGTTGTACCTTATATCATTCCATAAAGAAGTCTAACTAACCTTCACACATACATTATATCAAACAGTTGGTGTGTGCAAATTGGAAGTAAAAAGAAACACGAAACTAAACTGCAAACAAAGTTGGGCCAAACCGTAACCTTTTCTTGTCATCTCAGTGCGAAAAGATGTCAAAAACTTTGTCAATTGTATCTGCAACTTTCACCCATGTGAATCTACTGTTACTCCTAATCGAACATCTTCCTGTAATTGCAGTGCTTACCTGTACAAAAATTAAAATCAACAAAATAAGATCGTTGATCTTGAATGAAGAAAGACGAATGAAGTTGTCGATTTACGAGCTTCAGGAGATGCTGAGAGCTGGAACGCAGGAACAGAGTGGTTTGCCACTTATTTCAATCGGTGGAACAGTTGGAGGCCAAACAACAGAAATTCTAGACACATATACCCACACATAGGAAAGGAAGCGGAGGCGGAGGTATAGTCGCTTTCCTCTGGAACCGACTTTCGGCGAGAGAGAAGAAAATAGGAAAGGGCTATGTATGAAATTGGGAATAAGAAGACGGTAGTCAATGGCGGTGGAAAATTTTATCACGCCAGTCAATGACGGTGGAGAATTTTATTGGAGGAAAGGAGCGGCAGCGGGTCACAAATGCAAAGAAACAAACATAGTGTCAAAAGTCTAAAAACAGAAATGTTAGGTGGCCAAAATGTTAAAGAGAGTAGGTAAAAATGAAAAACTTTAGTGGCAAAATTTCTAATGGGCAAACTATACTGTACTTAAGGCTCCCGGGAATTAAGTATATACTAGGAAAGAGTTGTTCCCGCGTTGCGGGGTCAGTTGGTATTATGAATATTTTTTTTCTTAAATTGTTATAATCATTTATTAAATTTACTTTTTTGTAAATTTTTTATGATTTTGAGGTTATTCCATTGTAAAAAATGTTATTGATTAAGTTTAAGTATACATGAATACCGAATTTCCATTTCACAGTAAAAAAAAGTTGGTCACATACAAATAACGTTGAATTGATTACCTTCTACTTTTAACAACCACCTCTTCCTTCATTTTCTCCAAATAAAAATCACCAACTCTAAGCTTGTCAACACCTTTTTAGGTTGACCAGATCGTCAAACCTTGTTTTTGGAAAAAGCTCCTTATTATACATTTTATAGGAATAGTTAACTTTTAAGTCTTCTGAATCAATCACAATCTGTACAAATTTCAAGCACCAATGTTTCCATAAAATACAAAAAAAATGACTAAATAAGAATATATGGTGAAATTTGAAAAAAAGTAATTACTTTCTATGGGTTGTAAAAGAAATATCTTGCGACTCTCCTCAAGTTAGTATTATGGGACTTCAACATATTAATCTATCCTCTAGATGTAGTACTGATAATCTCAATACCTAACATAAAATAGATAAAAAAAACGATCCAATTGTTTTTTTATACCAAGATAGTTGAAAGGAAAAAAAATGATAAAACACTAATCTCATTGCATAAATTTGCCTTAAAGAAGGTCATCACTTCACAGGTAGTTGATGAAATTCTTGTAACACAATGAACTCTGCAGTAAAGTCATGTCGGCATCGCAGTAAGCTAAGTGATACGATTTTAATGAACATGATAACCATGGAAGCAACATGTTTATTATGGTGGATAGAAGCAATCTTAATTGTTAAGGACTACCTGCTCACCTTTGACTTTTTATTTTCCTCCCATGCTTTGATGAAAGACAATTTCTTCTCCTTATGAACCCCAGCCAACGTGATATCTAAATCTGAACAAAAAAGATTAACACAATCTCATCAAAATAAAGTATAAAAAGATATGCAGAATTTTTTTTTTCAAAACCATAGAGTTGGAATGATATGACATCCGCAAAAATTACCTTTATCAAGGAGTTCCTTGAACTTTTCGTCCACCTCAGGAACTTGGAACTGGAGTCTCTGTTGAATTTACAATCTCATCAAAATAAAGCACAAAAACATATACATAAACCTTGTTTCAAAACCATAGAGTTTGAATGATATGACAGCTGCAAAAATTACCTCTATCCATTAACAACATGCAAACATAATTAATTAAGCGAAAAATCAAAAGAAATAAAAAGTTTCAGGAATTATGATATGCTTGAAATTAACAAAAACTCTAGAAATATCAACAAAAACACACACAAACACATCTCTATCACTACAAAATAAGCTTTTGCATGATTGAAAACTAAACAAAACTATTTAACTGATAAGAACAATTTATGAAACTAATCACTAAAATTAAGATGAAATCCATGCCGCCAAAAGAATTCACAAAAAAATAAGCAACAGTTACAAACAGAGCCACACAAGAACTCACTGTGCCTAATTATAATCCTAAAAACATAATATTATAATCAAGAATCAACATCTAGCATGATCACAAAACCATGACCACCATACACGCCAATGATTTATTTTAAGGAATTACTTGCTCTTTTGTTGTCTACTTGCTCTTTTGTTGCAACTTCAGTTCACCATTGAAACCCCTTGTGGTGTTGGAGTTAAATCCTATACTCTATTCAAGTCATCCATGCTTCTAAACTTTGTCTTCTTTCAACCCAATTATTTTGATATAGTTTCGAGATTACCTTCTTTTTCTGTTGAGTTCCCTGTCACACATATCAATCTTCGAACTTTTAATCCATGACCTCCAATTAGATAATTAAAAGTATTAATTTACAGACCTGCAAATTCAAAATCAAAGATTGAAAGGTCTCAATTTCCTAATCTAAAGACTCAATGTTGCACAAAGATGAGTTACAGGTGATACATATGTCATAAAAGGGAAATTTTGGGATTAAATATCTATTTTAAGCATTTCGTCAAACACCTGTCGTGCAACTCAAATGGACTCCATTTTTTGAGCATTAATCTCAAACATAAGTCCAGGTTATAGTACCACCTTAGGATGAAATCGACTCCTATGATACATGAGAAGCCAATACCAAAAACAAAGGTGATTTCAAATTCTTCATTTGGTTAAAGAAACAATAAAAAAATGTGCATACGATTCACAAATCAAGACTTTATAGAATAAATCACACCTGAGTCTGCAAATGGAATTACATATTCACTTCTTCTCATTTTTGCTATCCAATTACCTCCTCAGCTGCAGAGAGAAGCGATCATTCACATCATCATCGTCCCAACTCTGAAATCCCCCGACTCCAGCTCCGATTCGGACTACAGGAATAAGGACGTCTTTGTTGATGCGGCCAAGCTCGTTAGGGTTGGATGACATCAGGACTGCGATGTTGGTGACCGAACCGAAAGGCGGTTTGGATATGAAAATAAGAATGGATTGGCAAGAGAGGTAAGCGCTGGAAGGTAGATAGATTTGGAGGATGAAACTGAAAGAAAATTTGATCTGCCAATGATCCAGATACGAAGAGAGAAAAAGGAGGCGGTAGTCAAAGGCGGTGGAGGCTAAAGTGGCAAAAGTCTAAAGACGGAAAAGATTGGTGGCCAAAATCAGAAGCGGAGAAAATTTCCTGTAGACAAGCCTCCCCACAATTAATATATATCCCTCGAAAGCCAACTTCGTGGTCATCTCTTGAACTAGCCTCGGATTCAGAACATAGCTACGGTTCCGAAAGATGAAATTGATGACGAATTGCAGAAGTATTTCAACTCAAATGACAGTGAGCCGTTAGAGTCTTTGAACCGAAGAATTTATGGAAAGGACGCAGTAATGTCTTTTGAATGGAAGAAAAAGACAGTGAGAGGAAGAGGCGGTGGCAAGAAGAAAGACGTTTGGAATAAGAATGGTTTAATCGAGGGAGAAAGATAATGACCAATGTCAATGGCGGTGCAACATCTGATTGGGTGGGAGAGGCGGTGGGGAGAGCAACCGACTGAAAACAAACCCGCAAATTATATCAAACGAAATTAAGGGGCCTAAAATACGTTAAGCAAAAGTTTTGTGGTCAATTTCAGAAGTGGAAAAGTGTACTGTAGATAAGGCTCCCCAGATTTAAGTGTATATATAATATAATATAATTATTTCTCATTATGTGGTACATGTATTTTAAAACCATAATAGAAATATATAATAGATAATAATAATACAAGTTAAAAAAAAAAAAAAAAAAAAAACTCATTAGTAGCAAGGACATGAATGGTATTTTACTTTCGGAAAACAAATGTTCCTACCCATTAAAAACTTGAGCTCAACTATTCAAGAGTACCAAAAAAACTATCTAAACATTTACAAAAATTGATACACCCTTCCGAAAACTAGTATACATTTTTTTTTCTTAGAAAATTAATAATTAATGATAATTATGTTTCTTAAATTACCTCTAGCTATGATGGAAAATTGCTCCAATACCTAGTTACCAAAATAATTGAATATGTTATCAACAGGGCCGGCCTTACATTAAGAAAAAATAACCAAGGGCTTAGGGCCCCCAATTTTAAGGGGACCCACTTAACCCAAATCTCAATTAGGGAATGACGAGTCTCCATTTGCGCACGCCACAAATTTCATCAGCCAAGAGACTTGTGGCTGTTCTTCTTCCGATCTTCATGAGTTCCTTGATTCATTTTCGTTCTCTGTTCTATGATTCTTCATTATCAGTAGAACCGCAGAAATCATTACTAATATGTTCTCTGTTCTTCTTCCGATCTTCCTTAGTTGATTCTCGGTTTTGTTCTTCCTGACTCTAATCGATTCCTTTTTGTTCAAAAATTAAAATTTAAAATTGACAGGCTGTGAAGTGTCAGTAGTTGATTCCTGAATCCTGAAAGGCTGAAACGGTATGTTGTTCTTGACTTCTTCCTCTGATTCTCCATAACTGATAACTCCATTGTTAATGCTTCTTTCTTGATTAGACAGATTAATCTATTAGGCTTATCACTTATTGACGTATGTTTGATATGTTATATGCATATCAATTTTCCTTCTGGACCTTCCATTATCAGAATATCTAATTATTATATAAACTTTGGAGTTATGTCATTAGTGATTTGCACAAATTATTGAATAAAGTTTCTTAATACTAAGTTAATATCAACTTCTGAAATTACATTAGGTTTGTTGCATTACTAAATCAACATGTTTTGATAGATATTTAAAAACTTTTCTAATGAATCTACATAGATTATATGTGAAACAAGATTTGTAAAAAAGGGGTTAGGAATTATCAATAGGTTGTCTTTTTGAAATTCTTTTAGCAAATGGTTTTTGAGTATCTACATGTTTAGATTGTGATTTTTGAATTATAGCAACTACACAGTTTGATATTGTTATATGTATATCAGTTTTCCTTCTGGACCTTCCATTATCTGAATATCTAATTATTAGATTATCTATTAGGGTTAATAAGACTTAAATTTTTACAAATATCCACTATGTCAAGTATATTTGGAATCAGGCTTGGATAGTAAAGGCCAAAGGGCCCCAAATTTTTGGTTCGCTTAGAGCCCCGAAACCGGTTGAGCCGCCCCTGGTTATCAAGATTTTTTTTCTATTAACGAGCTTTACATGACCACCTGTAAACTTCTTGATTCCTTGAACTATATGAATATTTCCAAATTTAATCTTTTGTTGTGCACCAATATCAAGAATAAGGGTTTACCAGTGTTCTGGAGCTCAATTGTACCTAGTAATGGCCTCTTTATATACAACCTTATAGAGCTACCTTTAAGAATGCATGGTATGAGCAACGGGAGGACTCATTTTTCTGAGGTGGCACCCAAAAAACGCCAGTATAACGGCTTGAACACCGCCTCCGACGCACATTATTAGCCGTTATGTGATAAAGCGTTATCGTGACAACGGGAAGCAACGCCTCAAAAACTTGCAAACAGACATAATTCAAACCGTTCCTCAACGGTCAAAATGTTTAAAAAAAATTAATTTTACTCACATATAAATGCACATATTCACTCTATTTTTTACGTACACAATACCTTTATTTTGTCTCATCTTATTCACTTTATTTTTTACACACAACTCAACCAAATTCACATTCAACAAACAATGGATCAAAAAACACTCCTCCTCCAAACACAAACACATCCATTCCGCTCGTTTTCACTCAATACGAGGGTTGCGTGAACCTCCTCAACTCGCAAAGCTCACCACAACTACCATTTTCCAGCAACTTTATTGTTCCACAAACAAATCCAAACCTTCAACAAAAAATTTTCAACACCTTTGCTTCCATTCCACAAACAACCACACAACCACCACCCACACAAGAAACACAAAATACGGTTGTCGAGACACAAGAGGGGGTAGTCGGAAACCTAGAGGGAGAGGGAAAAATAAAGGGAAAGCGATCGCAGTTGCGGAAAACGACGAAGAACCTCCGGTATGATAAACACCGGAGGAGGAGCACGCGTTGGTGGTGGCGTGATGCGGGACATCAAAACATCAAACTATGGGAAACGATATGAGGATATGTGGATTTTGGGAAGCCGCAATTGTAAAATTCCGCACAATTTTGAAAAAAGGGGAAGCATATCACAATCAGGATATGCTTAGTAGCAAGTGGACTACACTTAATAATAAGTGCACCAAGTTTAATTTGATCTACAACAAACTTTCTTCGCACAATAAGCAAAGTAGTGCGAACGAATTCTATGTGTTTAGAGCCGCGAGGGAGCAATATCATGTTGAAACGGGTAAAGTTTTCGAGTATGACAAAATTTGGGAGATTTTTAGAAATGACCCAAAATTGCTTAAGATGCCAACATCATCGGAGGTACATTCAAAGAGGTCTCGTGTTTCGGGTTTGGTTGACGTTTCCGACGCACAAACGAACATCGACCTCAACGCCGACACCGATGAGCTCCCAGACGACATTGAAGAGATCTCCCCGCCACGACAACCGATAGGGAGCGACAAAGTGAAGTGCGCTCAATGACATGCGGATGAAAGAGGAAGTAGGCTTCGAGAGCACACAGAAATGAAAAAGAAATTCGACTCCCACAACGAAATCGCAATTAAAAAAATATGAATTGCAACGTGAGCATTTGGAATTTCTTTGTTGGAGGAAATAGGGTTTATCTTGGAGATCTGGATACCCATTGGATCGTGTGAACACTTTCCGAACTGATATTTCTACTCTATGCCTGGGTTGCAAGAAATTCAGCCTAGGATAATCCAAGATGACACTTAAGAATCTAGGCACAGAAAACTTAAGCCAAATTGCTAAAAGGATTTTGTGTTCGTTTGAAGAAAACGAGAGCTAATAATTTTTGTGTGTATCTTCTCAAAGAGAAGAGTCGTTTATATAATAAACAAGATTAGGTTTTCTCTTAGGGTTGCTTTGGAAGCAAGTCAGGGAAATCTGGATTTTAATGAGGATTAAGGGTTTCCAAAACTAACGAATTTCGTTAGTTTTACCATAATCACCCTCAAGAATGTGAATTTCCCACTATGGTCCCATATGAATTTTGTTCGTTAGCTCTGCCCCTTGGACCCCGCAAGGGGCGCTGCCCCTAGACCCCGCCAAAGGGGCGTTGCCCCTTTAGAAACCCCGGACCCATACTTTTCGTCGAACCGGCTTCTAATTCGATCATATACGTGCGTGCACTCCACACAACCCAATACATATATTAGAGTACGAATTATGAAGCCCCTTAGCTCACATGTTAGTTCCAATTTTATAAAATGACATTATGACACTAAAATCACCAACATCATTTGTCAGCGAGCATAGGAGGATCGAATGACGAAGGATTTGACAATTCTTCAGACAAGCGAGGAAAATATGGCACCAAGACAAGTGTAAGTGCTCCGAAAGATGAAGGAAAATATCGAGAACAAATATTCGGGCAAGGACCAGTGTATCGTTATTATGGTTTTTAAATTTATGACTATCATTTAATTTCCGTTCAATGTTTTTTTTTGTAATGTCATTTTTAGTTAAAGTTATTTTTGACTTAGGATTTAATTAAATTACATGTGTTGTTAATTTATTTGTTTTTTATAAATATTATGACAAAAATAATAATAAGAAAAAAAAACATTTGGAAAAATAGAAATTAAAAATAATCGAAAAAAGAAATAAAAAAGAAATAGAAAATAAGGGATGTTATAACATGTTATTTGGTGTTGCCCAATTTCACACTTGGTGTTATAACACCATATATGATTAGGATGACGAGGTGACAACTTTTGGGTGTAATAACATGCTGCCATACCAACGAGCCTAAATAAATAAAAAATTATAATCATAATCACTTTTATTAAAGAATTAAAAATGCATAATATTTATTCACGTTTTAAGT